CTGCCTATGTCTCTACCTCTCTCTCTGGGTCTCTCATAAATAAATAAATATTTTTTTTTAAAAAAAAGACACTGCTCAACTCTTTTTTCTTTTTTTAAAAAAATATTTTATTTATTTGAGAGTGAGAATGAGTGGGAAGGAGAGGGAGAAAGAATATGAAGCGGCCTCTGTGCTGAGTACAGGGCCAAACATGGGGCTCCATCCCATGACTGTGAGATCATAACTTGAGCTGAAACCAAGAGTTGGACACCCAACCGACTGAGCCACCCAGGCGCCCTTCAATTCTCCTCTTCTAATGTCAGGATGCATCTTTTAAAAATAAGGATGAAAAAAAAAAAAAGGATGAAGGGCACCTGGGTGGCTCAGTTGGTTAAGCAGCCAACTCAATTTTGGCTCAGGTCATGATCTCAGGGTTATGAGATGGAGCCCCATGTGGGCTCTGTGCTCAGCGGGGAGTCAGCTTGAGAATTCTCTCCCTCCCCCCCTCTGTCCTTCTCCCTGCTTGTGTGATCTCTCAATAAATAAGTAAATCCTTATTTAAAGGATCCTTTTTTTAAAAAAGATTTTATTTATTTATTCATGAGAGACACACACAGAGAGAGGCAGAGATACAGGCAGAGGGAGAAGCAGGCTCCACGCAGGGAGCCCAATGTGGAACTTGATCCCAAGACTCCAGGACCAGGCCCTGGGCTGAAGGCAGGCGCTCAACCCCTGAGCCACTCAGGTGTCCCATAAATAAGTAAATCATAAAAAAAAACAACAACAACAGCAAGTTTGGGACACCTGGGTGGCTTAGTCAGTTAAGCATCTAACTCTTGATCTCAGCTCAGGTCTTGATCTCAGGGTGTGGGTTTGAGCCCCATGTTGGGCTCCACACCCAAAGCAAAACCCAAAAAACCAAGAATGGTTTCCTAGTTGCCTGTTTTCAAAAGCTTCCTCACTCCTTAGCATGCCTGGTCCCCATTCCCAAGTCACCAGCTATCCATAAATGGGCCCTGACAGCTGATTTGTCTCTGCCAGGAACCCTTTCAGAACCGCTCAGATTCCTTTCTCCCTGTTGATCCAGAAGTTCCACTCACCCTTTTTAAATTAAGGTGAAATTCATATAAAATAAAATTAACCATTTTAAAGTGAACAATTCAGGAACACCTGGGTGGCTCAAGTGGTTAGGCATCTGACTCAATTTCTGCTCAAGTCGTGATCTCAGGGTCGTGGGATCAAGCCCCAAGTCAGGCTCCACACTCAGCATGGAATCTGCTTAGGATTCTCTCCTCCTGGGATACCTGGGTGGCACAGCGGTTTAGCGCCTGCCTTTGGCCCAGGGTGCGATCCTGGAGACCCGGGATCGAATCCCACGTCGGGCTCCCGGTGCATGGAGCCTGCTTCTCCCTCTGCCTGTGTCTCTGCCTCTCTCTCTCCCTCTGTGACTATTATAAATAAAAAAAATTTAAAAAAATTAAAGTATACATGAGGTGTCTGGGTGGTTTAGTTGGTTAAGCATCCGACTCTTAATTTTGGCTTGGGTCATGGTCTGAAGGTTGTGAGGATTTTCTCTCCTCTTCCCTCTGCCCCTCCTTGCTTACATTCTTTCTTTCTTTCTCTAAAACAAAAACAAAAACAAAACATAAAGTATACAATTCAGTGGCATTAAGTAGATTCCTGATGTTGTACAACTATTACAACTACCTAGTTCCCAAATGAAATCTGTGAAGGTGGAGAAAGAGATTGAAGTGATGCAGCCACAAGACTTCCCCAGGAAGCGGCTTTGTCAGTGACACCTGAAGTTTGCCAGGAGAGCCAGGTGCAGGTGTGGAGTTTGGGGGAAAAGAGAAAATGGCTGCCTGCAGGTAGGTGCTCAAAAGAAGTAGTGGACAGGCCATGGCTGGCCTGGGTGCAGTCTAAGTGACTCTTACGCATTGTTTTATCCCTTGAGTTCTGTCTGCAAGGTCAGAGTATAGAGTTTCCAGTGGTCCAGGACTGGGAAGGGTGAGATGCTGTAAAGGGTGAGTAAGGAGCACAGAGGATGAGAGTATAAGGTGCCACTGACTACTTGGTCTGGGCTGGTGCGAAGAGGTACCCATATCCTGTCATACACATCTGGACCTCTGAGCAAGATGTCTGCCTTGGCCTTGCCCTCCTGTATGCATATTCCACTTGTCCTGGGGTGCCCCCTTGTGCTTCTCTCAGTCTGCCTGAACCTGGTTCCCAGTTGATTCCCTCTCTCTCAATGTAGTCCTGGCACTTCCAGAAGACTTGGTTTGGGCGTTTGGACAATGGAGCTGGCAGTGGCCCAGTACCTGGTAAGGTGGTAGAGGGAATCTTCAAGGCCTACTGCTGGTACCTGATTATACCCTGATTCTGTGGCTGCCATGGACTGGAAGAGAAACTACTGGGCCCCAGGAGGAAGGAGGTACTGTTTAGAGAAAAAAACATGAACCACTGAAACCACAGGGTCAGTTGCCATAGTCTATAGAAGAGCCCATAACGAGGGGCAAACCAGAGGACACAACCTTTTTTTTTTTAATAGTTTTTAATTTTTATTGGAGTTTCATTTGCCAACATATAGTATAACACCCAGCACTCATCTTGTCAAGTTCTCCCCTCAGTGCCCATCACCCAGTCACCCCATCCCCCCGCCCACCTCCCCTTCCACTACCCCTTGTTCGTTTCCCAGAGTTAGGAGTCTCTCATGTTTTGTCACCCTCTCTAATTTTTCCCTCTCAGTTTCCCTCCTTTCCCCTATAATCCCTTTCATTATTTTTTACATTCCCCATATGAGTGAAGCCATATGATTGTCCTTCTCTGATTGACTTACTTCACTCAGCGTAACACTCTCCAGTTTCATCCATGTCAAAGCAAATGGTGGGTATTTGTCATTTCTAATGGCCGAGTTATATTCCATTGTATATATAGACAACATCATCTTTATCCATCATCTGTCGAAGGACACTGAAGCTCATTTCACAGCTTGGCTATTGTGGACATTGCTGCTGTGAACATTGGCAGAGGACACATCCTAACCTATCCAGAGCAAGCTGTTCAGCAACCTGCAGGCCCCCTTCAGCTATCTCCTACTCCTCCCTACTTCACTGCTCTCTCAGTGCCTGGTCAGGGCTTCTGCAGTTGTTTCTACCCAGAACGGTCCTTCCCACAGGTGTTTGGAGGTAGTCGCCTAGGGGAGTCCACTCCTACAGTCTTTACCATCACCTTCTTATTTGGACTGTTTGGCCCTGACACTCTGGTGTCTGCTCCAGAGGTCTGGGTAGGTATGGGTAGCTCCTATGCCCCCTTACCGGTGACTTTGGGTCACAGGGAGGGATGGGGGCGTGGGAAATGCTCAGCCAGTATCACTAATGGATGCCACACCTCACCCCGTGCGCCAGCCAACTTTCCTTCCCAATTCTCAGAGAAAGGCAGCAAAGATCTGAGGCCAGAGCCTTGGGGTAGCAGCATGGAGGGGGCGGGCCACTCAATGGGGGGGGGCGTGGCCCCGCGGACCCGGTGGGTGGGTAGGGGGTAGAGGCTCGTAATAGCTCAGCTAAGGGGCGGGGCGGGGGCCGGATTTGGGGGCTGCGGCCAGGCTGGAACAAAGGCAGGCACAGAGACAAAGCCCCACAGCCCCCCAACTCCCTCCGGGAACAAAGGCCACACCCCGCCCAGTAGGGCCAGACGCGCCTCCACTGCCACCACGCGTGGGCGCCTTGCTCTGCCCACGGTTTTATGTTTGAACCCAGAGTCACGGAGTAGGGTCCTGGGGCCAGACTTGCCAGCCAGCATGTTCTCTGCATCCTCTCAAAAGCTGACCGCCGCCCCCTCCCCGCCCCCTTTAGCCTTGTTCTGAGCTAGAGATCTCAGCACCAGGAGCCCTGCAAAAGGGCTCAAGGGCCACTCCAAGGACCAGCTCCGAGGCATCCATCCCTCCAGCTTTCTTCTTGCCTCAAACACGATCCCCTCCCAGACTGCTCCATCTCAAACAGGATCAAACAGGGATCTTTCGGCCTCCACCGTAGGCCCTTTTTCCCAGCTCAGACCCAGCTTCTCTCCCTCCCGCACCCCCCAACACCCCCGACCCTGCCTAGCACCCAGGATTCTCGCCACAGACTGCTTCCTCCTCAGACAGGATTCCCACAAAAAGGCCATGGTTCTCTCAAACAGGGTTCCTTCCACCCCTCAAAGGCCTCATTCTCCCCATCTGACAGAATTATCCCCAGACATTCTGCTTCCTCCCCCAGACAGAAACTCCTCCGCCCCTCCACCCCCAGGCCCCCGCATAGATGCTGCCTCATTCTCTTACGGATCTTGCTTCCTCCCTCTGATAGGGTTTTCCCTACACAGACCCTGCTTCCTTCCTTAGAATTCCTCCACTGTTGCTGTTCATTCGGTTCGCCCACCTGGAAAAGCATCCAAGTCAGCGCAGCCGTTGCCTAAAAGATGGGAAGGGGGCGCTTGGGGGGCCAGGCGGGATTTCACAGGACTCGCTGCTCTGTAGCCCCTTGGAATCTGTTTGCTTTAGGCAGGTTTTAGTGCTTGCAAGCTAAACAATAAAGCGATTAAAACCCAAAAGTCAACCACTTGGCTTAGAAGTGGGAAGGGGACTCTCGGCCTCTCTCTGAACGCAGCCTTTCTCCCCAGCACTGGCAGACGCCAAGACTGGAGACTTCTTTGGCCTTGGCCTAAGGGGCGGGGATTGAGGTGGCGGCCTGGACTGCCAAATCGCCTGCGCAGGACCGCGGTCAGGGGCTGGGACTAGAGGGGGAGCAAGCGCATGTAAAGGTGCGCGCGCCCCGCCCGAGTACAATGTTGCGGCGGTGATATCAATAGTTCCGCCCCTGCCGCACAGGCGGCGCCGAGGTGGTGGAGGCGGAGGTGGGAAGACCCGGCTCAGGCGCTTGCGTATTCGCGTCCTTGCTCGGGGCGGCTAGCCCGGGCCCCGCCCCCGGGCGCAAGACGCCCAACGCGCTTGCGCGGCGGCGTCGGCGCCAGTTATTTCTGTCCCGCCCCTCGGCCGCGGCTCTTTCTGAGAGCGGGCGCGCGGGTGAGCGGTTGTTCGCGTGGCGTGTGGCGCGGTGTCTGGGCGGCCTCTAAAGAGGGATCGCGGTCGTCGTCGGCGGGAGGCTAGCGGGCGGCTGCCGGCCGGGCTTTGACAGCGCCCCGCGCGCAGCGGGCAGTAGCCCAGGAGGCGCGTGGCGGCGCTTGGCCTCGCGGCGGCAGCGGCCCAGCCGTTGGCGGCGAGTGCGTCTGCGCCTGCGCGGCGGGCCCCGCGCCCCTCCTCCCCCCTGGGCGCCCCCGGCGGCGTGTGAATGGCGGCCTCGGCGGCGGCGGCCTCCGCGGCGGCGGCGGCAGCCGCCTCGGGCAGCCCGGGCCCGGGTGAGGGCTCGGCTGGCGGCGAAAAGCGCGCCGCCGCCTCGTCGGCCGCGGCCTCGGCCTCGGCCTCGGCTTCGGCCTCGTCGCCCGCGGGGGGCGGCGGCGAGGCGCTGGAGCTGCTGGAGCACTGCGGTGTGTGCCGGGAGCGCCTGCGCCCCGAGAGGGAGCCGCGCTTGCTGCCCTGCCTGCATTCGGCTTGCAGTGCCTGCCTCGGGCCCCCGGCGCCCGCCGCCAACAGCTCGGGGGATGGCGGTGCAGCGGGTGACGGCGCCGGTGAGTACGGTCGGTCGGGGCAGCCCATCCCCCCACCCCACAGGCTTTGATCCCCACTCGGCGTCGGGATTGGGGGTCTGTTCCCAGCGTGACGATGGCGGGGGATCGCCTGAGCGAGAGGATAGGGACGCGGATAGTAGTTGGCCAGGTCGAGTATGGGCAGCGGGTTCTGTCCTGGGCGTGAGCTCATATGCTGCAAGTTCGATGAAAGAAGGGTTTGGTTTCTGCTCCCTAATGAGAGGATTTGGCCTTCTTTGGGATGAAGGTTGGGCTCAATGGGGGGATGGGTTACGACTTGGCTGTGAGCTCATAATCTCATTATTTTGTTTGTTTTTGGCAGTGGTCGACTGTCCTGTGTGCAAGCAGCAATGCTTCTCCAAAGACATTGTGGAGAATTACTTTATGCGTGACAGTGGCAGCAAGGCTGCCACAGACTCCCAGGATGCAAATCAGGTATGTCCTGCCCTAGCAACCCCTAGGAGGCCTCAATACATGTAATCAGTTCCAGACTTTGTTCTTCTCATACTACAAGTGTTTCGGCAGACTGTATAGGTTAGGTGAAGGCAACACTTTGCTTAGGTTGTGTTATCTGGGGTGTAGACATGGATCTATTTGGCGTTTTTGCCTCTTCTCACTCTGCTTTTGCCCATTAGTGCTGCACTAGCTGTGAGGATAATGCCCCTGCCACCAGCTACTGTGTGGAGTGCTCTGAGCCACTGTGTGAGACGTGTGTGGAAGCACACCAGCGGGTGAAGTACACCAAGGACCACACCGTACGCTCCACTGGTATGCAAGGCAGAGCAGAAAGCCTTGATTATCTTGCATATGTTCTTAACTGTTTATGGTGCTGGTTATTGATGATGGATGGGTCCCAAGGAGCTTTAACAGCGTACCTCCAGAAGGGTCTGAGGGCAGAATTAAAAAATGGGGATGCTGGGGCTCAGGTGTGTGGGTCTAGTGGGAGGGAAATGACCACAGAAGTGTGAGGGGGGTGCAGTGAGGGTTCAGGCAAGCTCATCAGGCCCCTCCCCCCGCAGCACACAGGGGATAAGCCCCAGTAGTGGAGGGGCTGGACTGGGGTTCCCTGGCAACTTGTTATGGTTCTGTAGGGGGAAATGAGACCTCTGAGCCACTGTGTTTAAGTTGCACAGGCCCTGAAGAGCATTATGGAGAGTCTTAGAACTTTGGGTTATACATGTTCAGCTCAGGTAGGTATTTAGAGAGTGTTTCACTCAGGTAGGTATTAAGAGACTCCTGTAGACGCTGGTAGTGGCAAAGAAAAGGGCTTGGGATCTTTCTGAGTTTATCCTGTTTTTTGGTTCCAGAACACTCTGTGGGTCGCCTTTTGGTAGTTACATTGTGGCTTCTCAGTCCTAGAGCAGAGCATTGGCAGGAAAATAAGAATGGAGATGGTGGTTGTGGGGGCACGAGGAATCAGGAGCCAGGAGCGAAGAGCAGGGATTTGTAGGAGGTCCTGGCTTAAGGCAAAGGGCAGAGTACAGGAGGCGGCAGTATTAGGGGATCCATGGTCTGGCTGATTTGTATCTCAAAGTCGTGTGTTTTGGGCTGGGATGATACAGCCAGGTTGTAAATGGGATTGGGTAGGAAAGAGGGATAGATTGTCTCAAGCAGCTTTTTAATGATGGTGACAGGTTGGGGGTGAGGTAGTATATTGGTCTTTAGGTGGTATTACTCTAAGTACCAGGACTCTCCCCTCAGAAGAGGGGTTCTGACACCTTTGTGAGGGATTTGGTCTGACATTTCACCTCTTCTGAGAAGGCTTTGCAAGGCATGGATCCTTTGTAGGTCTATGGGTTGTAAGCGGTTTGTGCATTTCTTTTTACTCGAGAGGGTAGACCACCAAAGTATGGCTTCTAAGGAAGCTGTGCTTGAATAGTGTCTCCAGTTTCTGATTTGCTTTTGTCTACGCCAGCAAGCAAACATTTTATGTGCTTGGATGGCACAGTAGCCAGAGTGCCTTCCTCTGCTGGACAGAACCTACTGCGAGTGGAGTGGAGTAGTGGAGCCAGTGGTGCTTTTCAAGGTGGAAGAGCTCTCCTGAGTATCCATTTGGGAAGGTTCTAGTAGAGGGAATAGTAAGAGGAAGGTCTCTGCCAAAGTCTTCAGATTTTGTTGTCAATATCAGTAGCTAGAAGGAGGAGTGATTTTCTGGGTCAGGTTTGGGCTGAAGATTTTGAGAGGAAAGATTTAGGTTTACAGGCCTGTGCTTTACCCTAGCCACTGCTGCAGGGCTTTGAGTTTTCCCAGCAGACAGCCCAGGGTTGCAGGACAGGCAGGAAGCGAGGCCTCAAGTTCTGTCTTCTACTTGAGTTGGAGATGGCTGAGGATGAGCTTTAGCCTCATGGTTTCTCTTCTCCAGGGCCAGCCAAATCAAGGGACGGTGAGCGCACGGTGTACTGCAATGTGCACAAGCACGAGCCCCTTGTGCTGTTCTGTGAGAGCTGTGACACCCTCACCTGCCGGGACTGCCAGCTCAATGCCCACAAGGACCACCAGTGAGTACTGAGGATGCTGGTGGGTTTATCTGTTAGCATGGTTCAGCACCCAGGCCCACTTCTGTCTGTCCTCAGATACCAGTTTCTGGAGGATGCAGTGAGGAACCAGCGCAAGCTCCTGGCCTCGCTGGTGAAGCGCCTTGGGGATAAGCATGCAACACTGCAGAAGAACACCAAGGAGGTTCGCAGCTCGTAAGTGTGGATGCCAGGGCCGTAGTTGGGCGCAGTTCTGGGGGATCACCTTCTTGACTTGGTTCACTCTGCCTCCCAGGATCCGCCAGGTGTCTGACGTACAGAAGCGTGTGCAGGTAGATGTCAAAATGGCCATTTTGCAGATCATGAAGGAGCTGAACAAGCGGGGCCGTGTGCTGGTCAATGATGCTCAGGTATACCCTGTTTGAGGGGGGAGGGATTCTGGGTCCCATCTGCTGGCTGCTGACCCCATCTGTGGTAGTCGGATCTTGGGGACTGGCATTCTCTGCTGGCTGTTGATGCCATCTTTGGTGTCTTCTTTCCTTGATTTCTTTGTCTACCTGTAGAAGGTGACTGAGGGGCAGCAGGAGCGCCTGGAACGACAACACTGGACCATGACCAAGATCCAGAAGCACCAGGAACACATCCTGCGCTTTGCCTCTTGGGCTCTGGAGAGTGACAACAATACGGCCCTGCTGCTCTCCAAGAAGCTGGTGTGTGCTGGTGGGCATCCAGTGGTGGGTTCCAGGCAGGTGCCACTCAGTACCCTGCAGCCTTGTTTGCTGTGTGTTCATGCACTGCTCTATCTCCAGATCTACTTCCAGCTGCATCGGGCCCTCAAGATGATTGTGGACCCTGTAGAGCCACATGGCGAGATGAAATTTCAATGGGACCTTAATGCCTGGACCAAGAGTGCAGAGGCTTTTGGTTTGTCCTTTTCTTTATCCCGCTGAATATTGCTATCGCTCCAGACACTGGGTCTTAAGCTGATTTTTATCTCATTTTTGCAGGCAAGATTGTGGCAGAGCGTCCTGGCACCAACTCAACAGGCCCTACGTCCATGGCCCCTCCTCGGGCTCCAGGGCCCTTGAGCAAGCAGGGCTCTGGCAGTAGCCAGGTGAGCAGGGGAGGGGGGGAATCATGGGCTGGGGAGGGTGGGGGCATGGGGTCCTATGGGACACCTGCCCACTGAGGTCCACCTGCTTTACCCACAGCCCATGGAGGTACAGGAAGGCTATGGCTTTGGCTCAGGTAAGTACCCTGTAGGTGGGAGAGCTTCAGTGCTCTAGGTCTATCCCTAATCTACTATCTCTTTCTGTATTTTCTGAGCAGACGATCCTTATTCGAGTGCAGAGCCCCATGTGTCAGGTGTAAAGCGGTGAGTTTGGCTATCCTTTTGTGGAGCCAGATGGGCAAAGGGATGGGTGTCCTAACACCACACTGCCCCTGTACCCACAGGTCCCGCTCAGGTGAGGGCGAGGTGAGTGGCCTCATGCGCAAGGTGCCACGGGTGAGCCTCGAGCGCCTAGACCTGGATCTCACGGCTGATAGCCAGCCACCAGTTTTCAAGGTCTTCCCAGGCAGCACCACTGAGGATTACAATCTCATTGTTATTGAGCGTGGTGCTGCAGCTGCTGCTGCTGGACAGCCTGGATCTGCTCCACCCGGGGCCCCTGGGGCCCCACCACTACCTGGCATGGCCATTGTCAAGGTGAGCCTGTCTCAAGTGACTGTGAGTAGGAAATGAGCACCCAGGTCTGCACCCTGCTTAACACCTATTACATCCTTGTAGGAGGAAGAGACAGAAGCTGCCATTGGAGCTCCGCCTGTTGCCACGGAGGGTCCTGAGACCAAGCCTGTGCTGATGGCTCTGGCGGAGGGCCCTGGTGCCGAGGGCCCCCGCCTGGCCTCACCCAGTGGCAGCACCAGTTCAGGTCTAGAAGTAGTGGCTCCAGAGGGCACTTCAGCCCCAGCTGGTGGTCCAGGTGCCCTGGATGACAGTGCCACCATCTGCCGTGTCTGCCAGAAGCCAGGGGATCTAGTCATGTGCAACCAGTGCGAGTTCTGCTTCCACCTGGACTGCCACCTGCCTGCCCTGCAGGATGTCCCAGGGTGCGAGGCTTGTGTGGGGTCTGTGCAGGGTGGAGGGCTGGGCCAGGTTCTTTGCAGCTCCTCATTCTCCTTCCATCCAGGGAGGAGTGGAGTTGCTCTCTCTGCCATGTACTACCCGATCTGAAAGAGGAAGATGGCAGCCTGAGCCTGGACAGTGGTGATAGCACCGGTGTGGTGGCCAAGCTCTCGCCAGCTAACCAGCAGGTGAGGGTGGAGGCCTATTCCCTTAGGAGTAGCTCAATAGTCCTACCCCCCTGACTCTGTTCTCGGTCTTGTTCATAGAAGTGTGAGCGTGTCTTGCTGGCCCTATTCTGTCATGAGCCCTGCCGACCTTTGCACCAGCTGGCTACTGACTCTACTTTCTCCCTGGTGAGTCTTAGGACTTAGAGAGGGTGGGAGGGACTGCCAGGCCTCACTTTCAGCCTGTGGGGTCTGTCTACAGGATCAGCCTGGTGGCACCCTGGACCTGACCCTGATCCGTGCCCGTCTCCAGGAGAAGTTGTCACCCCCATATAGTTCCCCCCAGGAGTTTGCCCAGGATGTGGGCCGCATGTTTAAGCAGTTCAACAAGCTGACAGAGGTGAGCTTGGGGAGAATAGGGTTGGGAGGGGGGTAGGGTTAGGGGAGATGGGAGGAGGGAGAGTTAGGATCCATCCACTGCAATCTGCCCGGCTCAGGACAAGGCAGACGTGCAGTCCATCATCGGCCTGCAGCGCTTCTTCGAGACTCGCATGAACGAGGCCTTTGGTGACACCAAGTTCTCAGCTGTGCTGGTGGAGCCCCCCCCCCTGAGCCTGCCTGGTGCTGGCCTGAGTGCCCAGGAGCTATCCAGTGGTCCTGGTGATGGCCCCTGAGTCTGTGGCCTCTCAGGCCAACCCGGCCTGGCTCTGTTCTCTGTCCTGTCAAATTCCCTTCCCCCTACCTCCCCCTCTGGTGGCCTGGCTCCTACTTCTTGGTGGCCCCATCCCCCAACCCCTCACAATATGGTTTTTACTTATGTGGATTTAATAAAAACTTCACCACAGTTCCTCAGGCCTTTGGTGGTGGGGGAAGTGGTCCTAGGGCTTGGTCTCTGCAGTTCCCTCACCATGCCCTGGTAGATGGAGTAGGTGTGGGGCACTCCTGAACCATTGAGCCATTTTGGTGTCTGGGGAGTAGGGAAGAGCATCCCCCTTGGGCCCTTCCAGTGTCTTGGGTAGGTGGGAGGGTTGCATGGTACACATGCTGTAGGCTTTTGGGTGCCCCTGTAGGTGGTAATGGGCAGGCAGGGTGTAGCCCCAAATACACAGCTGCATGGTGGTCATTCTTTCTGAGTACTTCCTGGACTTGGGTGTAACCATTTCTCATCAGATGGCACCACAGTGTGGGTGGGCTGAGGATTCCTGGCAGATGAGCTCAGACTTCAGGGTATCTGGGAACCCAACTGTTTTGGAGGTGATAGGCACTGATAGGCCAAGGCATTGGAGGCTTTGGGAGTGGTATGGAAGCAGAGCTCACAGATGACCTTCAGCTCCCAAACCCTGAACATCGTGGAGATGACCTGTCAATTCCTGCCACAAACTGGGAGGCAATCCAGCCTACCTTTTCTTATATCCCAACAACTCTGGTACTTGGCCTTTGGCCACGTGTCAACTGCCCCTTTACTAAACCCTGTATGTGACCTCTGCCAAGGGACCCCAGCCTGGCCCATGTCCGGTCAGTCACACAGACCTAGGAACTAGTGTCCAATCTTTTATTACAGAAGTAGTACAGCAAAACTGGGCATCCATTGCCCACCTCCCACTCATGGTAGTATAGGGTGATTAGTCCCTCCGCAGATTCTTGAGCCGCTCCTCCAGGTCTGCGTCGGCATCTACTAGGGCTGAGGCTGCAGCCTCTGCTTTCTTCCCACTGGCAGCCACACTGAGTGAGCCTCCGGTGGAGGGGAGGTCTACAGAGAGTGGGGGTTAGGAGAGCTCCTGTAGAAGGGAATAATGCTGTGGGGGAGGGGTCGGGTTTTGTCTGGACTGTTGGGTGGGGCAGGGCCCAAAATTGTGCGCACTCACTTGACAGCTCGTCTGTCAGGCTCAATCCCAGCTCATCCAGGACCTGGGATACAACAGCGTCACTTGGGAGAGAGAAGAAGTTTATGAGGGCCTGGTTATGTTTGAGGACCCGGCATCCATCCCCACCCTTCCCACACCTGGTGTCCCCTAACCTCTCCTCTTCATCTTCCTCATCACCCATGGCATCATCAATGGCATCATTCATCATTTCCTCCTTCATGTCCATGATCTCGGCCTGCCGCTCAAATTCCATCATGATCTTCTGGATCTGAGGCAACTTTAGCTGGAAGTGAGGTGGGGGGGAGGGTTAGTTGGGGATTAGTTGGTGGGAGGGGTGGGGTGGGGGGGATGCTTGGGAGAGGCGTACCTGTCTGTTCATGGTGCCCATGGCTTTGGTGACCCCCTTCATAGCTTGTGCCATTGAGTTGTTGGACTTCAGTGTCTGGATCTTCAGGGACACCGCCTGGATGTTGGCCCGCATCAACACAAATTTACGCACATAACGCCGAGTGCGCACCAGGTCTTTTGCCATGATACGCACGGCGTCCTGAGGAGTGCACAAATGTGGCAGGGATGGGCCAAGGAAGATGCTTTCAGATATTTACATGTGGCTTAACCCAGTGTTCACTGGCCCCTCCCTCCTCCCAACCTCATCCTCATGCTTCTTGGGTCATGACTCCACAGGCTCCTCTGTACTCTGACCTCTCTAACCCATAGGTGCTGGAAGGAAGGCTGTGCTGACTCCACATAGGAACCCTTTTCCCTCCATATCTAGAGTCACTCTCTTAAAATGCCTATTTCTGAACTTCTATCCTGGCTGAAGAGTGCCTCTCTCTCCATCTCACAAAGTCTCACACCTCAAGCTCTACCCCAAATGAATCGATCCATAGCTCAGCTTTTGACTTCCCAAATGCTTGCCTTGCCTTGTCTATTTCGGGAAATGGAACCTCTTCAACCTAGCTGCTCAGGTTCAAACTGTCATAGGTTCTGCTCCCTACTGGTTCAGGCTATCCCCATTCTTTTACTGACGTTCAGGTCACAGTGTATTCTGGGCTACATCTCTCTTGCATTAAAATTAAACTCTTTGACTCACTTCCCACTGTGGCCCAGGATTTCAACTTGTGTGGCCTACCATCTACTCTGAATTCACTATAACTCCCTCATGGAACATGTGGTTCCTCATCTGTTTGACACACTGGTAGTTTGGATCTTCACAGGCTCACTCCTCATTACTTAAGGTTTGTGGCTCTGGCGTCCCCTCCTGGGAAGAGCCTTTCTGGATCCCCAAAAATAGGGAAGCCCCATATTTGCCCTTAATTTCTCTCAAGGCACCTGTTGGTGTCCTGTCATGCTCTATAGTTATAGCAGTATCTGACCCAACTATAGCCCCTGATCCTGTGTCCCAACCTGTGCCCAGCTGAGCTCACCATCTGGCCCTGCTTGGCCATCTTCTTGATGTCTGCGATGATTTTCTTCTCCTGGGTCTCTAGCTTCTGTCGTTCACGGTCCAACTCTCGCATGGCACGGTTCAGGGCCCGCTGGTTCTGCCTCAGCAGCTCCTCTGGTGTCTTCCGGCGCCCAAACAACAGGTCCATGATAGCAGTAGCCCACTAATGGGCCTGTGACAAGTGGTGTGAAGCCTAGCTGTGAAGTGGTATGGGGCCCAGAAAAAGCAGAAGCAGAGCCAGGGTCACAATGTATATTGGCAGGGTGGTGCAAAATGTGAAGGGGTTAAGCAGGAAGAAGGAAACCTTAATAGAAGGCTAAAACGCAGCCAGGAACACTGAAATTATTCCACAGAAGTGGGGGCAGCAAGATTTGAAAGTCATCCACAACATACCCACCCCATCCCTTCATAGAGCCCCCAAGGAAGTTCAAGGCTTCAGCCTGCCTCTCCAGCCCAGAGGCCTTGGAGTCTGACAGGCTCACAATGGAGGTGATGTGTGAGGATGCTGGGGCATTTGGGACCCTGAGCTCCAAGGACGGGAATTGTGGGGGCCCCATGGGATGGCAAGGCAGGTGGACAACCTGAGTACCAAGAACAAAGTGGATATAGGGGTTCTGAAGCTTCAGAACGTATGAATGCCATTCGGATTTGGGGGTCCCTGAGTGGGGAGGGAACCTGGGTACGAATAATATGGTTGCAGGGCGTCTGGGCACCCAGTACACTAAAGACATGATAGACGCTAGGGAGTTCTGTAGATCTGGAAGAGTGGGGTCCAGGAACGGGATGGTGGGTGTTGGGGCGCCTGGTTCACCCAGGACAAAACCTGGAGGGTGTTGGGAGGCCCGCGCCCAGAGAGCAAAGTGGCTAGATGAGGCCAGGGTGTCAGGGATGGGCGAGGCAGTCGACATCCCGGCGAAGAAGCCCTCGTCTGCCGTCGCCCACGCACCCACCCGGGACCCGCGGCCCGGCAGGGGCCACTCACCGTAGCTGGGACGGGAACCCGCTTCCGCTTCCGGGTTACGCTCCTCTCTCCTTGGATCCTCGGGCGCGCCCACCAACGATAGCCCCTCGGTTCTTTCTGCCGCCGCCGTTTCCGGAAGAAGTGGTCTGACGTCACACGCTCCACCGGCACTCGGAGCGATGGGCGGGGACAAGAGCGCGCGTGCGCACGCCTCCTGGAGCAGGCACGCATCCAGGCGCATGCGCGCCAGCTTCCGTCTCTCCAGAGCCTGCTTGACGGTGTTCCACAGGTTCCAGGACGACCCAGGCCTGGGATCCTGGACCTCGTTGGGTTGGTGCATCTTTGGGCACCTTCCACCCAGCCACCCCATCCCACCGCCGCACCCACCAGATGGCCCAGCCCATCCGACGGACCATGGCATTTCCATTTCTGGATCTCAGGCACCTGGTGACACCAGGGAGGGTTCCTTGGTGGGCCCAACCATGGCAGAAGGGGGCAGAACTGGAGGTGGCATGGACTTTCCTTTATACTGGTTTACCAAGCAGGAAGCAAGTGGTTACTGGATCCCGCCCCTCATTGGTCCCAGACTGGGATTCATCCCACCCAGCCTGAGGCTGAGGTATTCCTGCCCCCTTTTACCCCCAAGGCTGCTCCAGGAACTGGGTAGCCTGCTGAGGGGTGTCCTAGTGCCACCTGTGACCACATATCTCCCACCACTCTTGCTGGTGTATATGACCTGCCCCTCCCAATCCCACAGAAGTAAGAGGCAGAAGCCATGCAGTAACATTCCCCTTTAATAGCCTGGTGGGACCTCCAGTGGTGGAGGGGTAGGGTGCCCGAGCCCCAGCCACCCAGTCCCCTTGGCCACCCACCCCAGAGCCCAGAGTGGGGGGCTGGACAGCACCCAGCTGGGGGCTAGACAAGCCAATTCATTTCCCATTGCTGAGTGGGTCGGAGGCAGCGCCGACCTTAATCACATGGTGGTTTAAAAAAAAAATAATAACTAGGAGCGGGTGGCAGGGAGGGGAGGCAAGGTCAGGGCATGGGATTCCCCCACCGGCCACCCATGCCCCCCACCTGTGGCCCCCAATAAATATTTGCAGGGGACGCCGGGGCTGGTGGCCCTGGCAGGGGTGGGTGTGCGCAAACCCTATTTCAGGCAGCGCTCGAAGTAGGTGGAGCCAATATAGCCACCCCGCATGGAGCGCTGCACATTCTGCTCAAACAGCCGCCGGTTGTTCTGCAGGACCTCGGCGGCCTCCTTGTTCAGTGGGTCTTCGGGGTTGGGCTCCTGTGGCCGGTATAGGTGGGGGTCAACAGGCCCTTAAAGCAGAAAGGGCCAATCTTCCCCAGCCTTCCCCACCTACCCCTACTCACCAAGAAGAGATACTGCAGGCCATAAATTATGGAGTTTATCGTAAGGACTGGCTTCCAGTCCTCTCTGTGGAGGGAGAATCAAGGTCAGGGGCTGGTGAGTGGATGGCCAACACAGAGCCTGCTGGGACTGAACAAGTCAGCTCCAGGGCACGGGACAGTACAGATGTTGAGAGGCTAGGAGGAGGGCGCACAGCAGG